AAAAAAAAAAAAAAAAAAAAAAAAAGAAGAAAAAAACTGGACCTGCTTATGTTTCCCTCTTTTTAACTCAAATATCTTCTAACCTCAATAATTCCAAATCTTTTTTTCTTTACCTATGGCCATTACCTGTCAAATGCAAAGCTCAATATATTTTGATGGAAAAACTCATACTACACCGAAATTCTATACTTGATAGAGGCTGATAACCTCATTTTTTATCACATTAGGCTTTATGTATTCTTAATCTGAATTAGAATAAATTGGACACTGAAGTATTTGGCAGAGGAACTTTGGTCCATGAAATTGGGTTTGAAGCTTCTGAAAGAAAGGGCAAAAGTTGGATCCTTCTGGTGGCCGTATATTGGCAATCTCCCTGAAGTTTTCAGTGTTCCCATATTTTTTCCTGGAGATGACATAAAGAACTTGCAGTATGCTCCTCTTCTTCATCAGGTCAGTTGAAAGCCAATGCGTGATGCTGTAATCAACCAATGATAAAGATATAGTTAAGGGTATTTGTTTTGTTGTTTGAGAAGAAAAATCCTTTCAGATGTCGATCTTTCTTATACTTCCAACTAATTTTTCATTGATACCAAATGAAGTCTGTTCATGCTGAAAATTGAGGTGCTTATCAGGTAAACAAAAGGTGTCGCTTCCTCCTTGATTTTGAGAAAGAAGTTAAACGTACTCTTGATAGCGTAAAGCCCGAAGATCACCCTTTTGGTGGCCAAACTGTAGATGCATCATCTCTTGGATGGGCAATGGCAGCAGTCTCATCAAGGGCATTTCGTTTATATGGTAAAAATCTTACGGTTGGTACTACTAACAGTGTCCCCATGATGCTCCCTCTCATTGATATGTGCAACCATAGCTTTAATTCAAATGCACGTATAGTCCAGGAACAAGATGCAGGATCCATGAAGTTGAAAGTGAAGGTGAAATTTTCTGTTGTTTTAACTATTGATGGAAAGTTAGCTGTTCTTGCCATGTTAATCCGTTCTGTATATTCTTAACCGGCAACTTCTGTTTGCTTTGGAACCAGGTTGTAGCAGAGACTGAAATTGAAGGAAACGTTCCTCTAACACTAAATTATGGCTGTCTGGACAATGACCTCTTCCTGCTTGATTATGGATTTGTGATAGCATCAAATCAATACGATCATATTGAGCTCAAATACGATGAAGCTCTCTTAGAGGCTGCTAGCACTGTTGCTGGGATTTCTTCAGAAAATTTTTCTTCCCCTTCTCCATGGCAAAAACTTGTCTTAACCAAGTTAAGTCTACATGGCGAAGCTGCTCTTCTTAAGGTTTTGATTCTACTCAATTTTATTTCTCTACCTCTTATTAGTTTTTTTTGTGTGAAAACAATGATCCACTGGAGCAATGTATTTGCTGTCACTAAAATCCATATCAACAAAAATTGCTTTATTTTATTTTCCCCGATCCTTGGTTCTCAAGACCATATTACCTTTTTGTTTCACAAAAGAGAAACAGCCAATCCCCGGAAAGAAAAAAGAAAATATATCACTTCTTCTCGGCAGTATGAAGATTTTCGTCAAATGGGGAAATTTAAACATACTTTGGTGGTCATGATGTCTCAGTTTGAAATGTTTAACGTACATATATCGCGACTTGAATTAAAAGAAGAAAGGGAAAAATAGTTCAACCATCTCATAGTTAGAACCTAACCTCTTTCCTAGAAAGAAATGAATAATAAATTCAGTATATGCTTCTGAGATATTTAGTGTTGAACGATAAATTATATTGTTCCTTTTCCAACTCGTCCTAGTGAGTTGAATTAAAGTTATCTGTTGTTAGTGTAACTTATTAATTGTCCTGTGCAGCTACACAAATGCATAGGGTGATAAGTTTTTTTACTTCTTTTTCCTTAAATCAATTTCTGATTTTGTTTATTTGCCTGATAGGTGTGCATCGGTGGTCCAGAAATAATTGATGGCCGCTTATTGGCTGCTTTAAGAGTGCTTCTCTCGGTTGATGAAGAAATAGTACAGAAACATGACTTGGACGTGCTCAAATCTTTGTCAGCTGAAGCACCTCTTGGTGTTGCAAACGAAATAGCAACATTACGTACGATAATCGCTTTATGTGTGATTGCATTGGGACACTTCCCAACCAAGATAATGGAGGACGAAGCGCTTTTGAAGAAGTGCGAAAGAGAATCATCGAAATTGGCAATTCAGTTCAGAATTCAAAAGAAATCAGTTATCATAGATGTGATGAGCAACCTAACAAGAAGAGTGAAGCTGCTTCAATCTAAGGCGGTCTCTCAGGGTTGAAAATGATGGTATAATGATATACTATCTCTGCCTTATTATCAATTGTCTCATTATGAATATAGAATTTACCTTTCTCTCCATTTGTTTGTTATTTTCATAGCACCTCTTTAATGTTCCTTTGTTATGGCCCTATACAATTCTTTTATGGTCATGCTAGTGAAAACTAAAATTTAGGGAAAATATCTGATAAAAAACTACCTTCAAAGAATCCACACAATACACTTAACTAAAAACGCAGTTTGGATTTTGAAACTTCTTTCAAAGGTAGATGACAAAACAAAACAAAAAAACTCGCGAGTGTTGGTAGTATTTCTTAGCTTAATTTTCAAAATCAAAAACAAAAAACCAGGGGCTTGGTCAATTGGAATGGAGGAATTCTGGGACTCTAGGGCTGTTACAATTTCTATGATTTAAGCTATTTGACATCACTTATTTCTCTTTTGTAAGCTTATCATCTACCTTCTACTTTATGTGGGATTGTGATAATATAATCTGGATCATAGATTTCTTATGCTTGGTCTATGTCCAACCATTTTGTATTTCCTTTTTCCTAGGCAAAGCGAAACAAAAGAAAAACTTCGATGGTGAAGAATTTAAACGAATCGGTTGGAGTTGAAGTCAAAAAAAACTTGGAATGTTCTGTCATCTCAGAATTTCTACTCCTGTTGCACATTCTTTTTTTTTTTTTTTTTTTTTTTTTTTTTTTTTTTTTTTTT